CTCTTAAATGGAAAACAAATATCACCATTAGAAATAGATGATACATTTGAAGAAAATAATACTTTAAATAAATTTAAAATACTTTTGGATAAAGTTAGTATAATAAAATGTTGCCAAGGAGCTATCATTTCAAACCAAAATGCTAACATTAAAGCATCATTTGGTGCTCAGTATGTGAAGTCCAGTGGCCAATGGCGACATAGTAATTGCTTAACAATCGTCAAAGAAGCTGACAAGTATAATCAAATTACTTTTAAAATAAATTAATACAAAAGTAGTTCAGCTTTTACAGCTAAATATATTTACAATTTGTTTTATTTCAGTAATGTATGTTCATGGTGTAAGCGTTTGACCTTTTCTATTCAGAGAAAGTGTACAAAACTTAAAAAAGAAGAAAACACCAGAGTTTATTTTTCACCAAATAAAAAAAAAAATGTACAAACAATTCAAAAGGCTAAAGCAATTGTTAAAAAAAGACATTTTCGGGCTAGTAGAAAAATCACTCAACTAGAAGATAAGTTAAATAAAGTAAAACATGAAATGAGCACAATTGGTGACACAAAGTTGAAAAACATTTTTGAGAGTTTAAATATATCAAATGAACAATGTGAATTAATTAAAGAAATAATTGCTGCTGCCAAAGTAAAAAACCCCAAAAACCTACGTTATAGTGAAAACTGGATGTTGCTGTGTTTGCTATTTCAAATAAGGTATCTTGAGAAATTAAGTTTCTTAGATAATTTTTTTGTAATTTGTAAATTTGTTTCATAGATCTCCTTGTGGTTATAAATTTTTGTTAGAACAAAAGATCTTGCCATTGCCTTGTGTAAATACACTGAGAAATCACTTATTGGCAATTAAAGTTGGTTGTGGTTTTGATAATGAGTTTTTTGGAATACTCAAGAAAAAATTTTCTAATAAAACTGATCATCAAAGAAAGGTAATATTAGTGATTGATGAAGTATTTCTTAGGGAGAGCATAAGTGTTAATACTAGCACACTAACTTATCTCCGATTAGAAGTGTTTGTTGAAGGTTTTGAGACTAGAGAAAATTGGAAGGCTAACCATGGGTTAGTGCTTATGATTCAGAGTTTAGCAGATAACGTTCATATGCCAATAGCAGTTTTTGTTTCAAATGGTTCAATAAAAGGTTTATATTTAAGAAAAAAGGTTAGCAATCATATATATTTTTTTAAATCTATTATTTTTAGGTGTAGATTTGGCCAAAATCGTGATAAAATCAATATTATTACTTGAGAATGCTGGAGTTCAAGTAATGGGAATTACAAGTGATGGAGCATCTACAAACAGAAATATGTGGAACTGGTTGGGCATAAGTGCAAAAAGTCAAAACTTTAAAAACAGTTTTGAAAATCCTTTCGATAGCCAACGCAGTGTTTATGTATTTTCAGACGCCCCACATTTGTTGAAGACCATCAGAAATAGATTGTATACAAAAAAAGCATTAAAGGTAGGTAATTAAAATTATACTTCACTAATAAAATTAGTTAAATGCACTTTTAATTTATTTGTCTATTTTAGATTCACCCAACTAAGTCTTTTATAAAATGGAAAGTTTATGAAGATCTTTACTTATATGATTCCAAAAATATTACTAGAGTATGTCCTAGATTATCTAAAAATCATTTTGAACTTAACAACTTCTCAAAAATGAAAGTTAAATTTGCCGCACAAGTAATTTATTGAAAAATTTTTTTTTTAAATATTTCTTCAGTCAATTTTTAATACTGATTGTCAATTGATAACACAATTAATTTAATTTAATTTAATACCTTTCTAATACTTGAAATTGTGCCCCCACACTATTGATGTTCATGTGTCTTAGGTTTGTGGGTCCATAGTCCATATCTATTTATATAGAAACAAGGTTCCCTAATATTCCCTCATATTTATACAGGTGCTCTAGACAAAGCATGTAAATAATGTTATGATTATTTGTTGTTATTATTTTAAGTGTTTGGTAGTTTGTAAATTAGTCTTTGAGCATAAGTAGAAAGTAGACAATGCAAAGTAGACATATGAGTATATGACTTATATAAAATTAATATACTTATACATTTTATAATTTTTATCTTATTCATTATAATAATGACAATACATATAGGTCAATTATTTAATTTTAAGGTATTGAAGCATGCTTTAAGTTGGTTGGATGAATGGCATGCAAATTTTACAAAAAATCTGATTCGAGAAGATGAATTTTTAACTATCAGTACATTTGAGGGCCTGAAAATGACAATTAAATCTACCATTGATTTAGTAGAGTATTTATTGAATCAATGTGGATTTGAATACGTATTAACTGCTAAAATTAATCAAGATTGTTTAGAGGTTAACATAAATATTAATTTTAAAATTGAATTACCTAACATCCAACGACCAATGACCACCGTTCAACTCCTAGTTTCCTTCAACTGTATAGGATGTTATCAGTTTATTATGTAATAAAACCACCTAAAGCAGGAAACTGTACAATCTTAGACGGTAATAAAGAATTTTATATAATATCAAAATATCAAATAAGTATAAAATACAAAATTATATACTTTTCTTCTTTTTAGACAATATTTCACCAATTTCAGTAGTTGATCTTAAAAATATTATAACAACAAATAATGAAACCTGTGACAGAAAAAAAAAATTAAAAAATCAAATTGATATTATTGTTGAAGATGGACAATGGGAATTGGATGATATATTTGAAGATCACGATTACTACCAAACGCCACTATCAACAGTTTTTGAATGTGTGGTTTATTTTTTAGCAGGGTAATTAAAATATTTTAAGTATACTAACTACCTATTAGAGATTATATGATTGCAATTTTGTATATAGATATTTAACAAGGAGGCTGAAAAAAAGTACAAAATGTGAAATTTGTATAAAAAGTTTAAATACTGAGTATGGTGAATCTACAAATAAAGCTGCCGACCTTGTAAATTTAAAAACCAGAGGGTTCTTAACACATCCAAACAATAATTTATTTTTAATTATTCAACAAGTGGAGTTGTGTTTTGAAAAATATGCTAATTCCTCAAACCCCTTTGAGAATACTTTTGAAGAATTTTTTCAGAATGAAAATAGAATTCTCACATTCCCATGCAAACAACATAAAGTTGACATGTTAACCAATATATTCGTAATTTATATAACAATGAGAATGAGGCAATTTTCGTATATGAAAAATCAAGAATCAAAAAAACAAAATAAGACCAAAAAAAAGCTTTCAAAATTAGTGAGCACCTAATGTTAAACATATGAAAAAAAATTAATTTAGATACATTTTTACAAGTTTTACAACATATTACCTTTAATAGGAAGTTATTTATTTAGATAAATATTGTATACTGTAAGTATACTATATATTATATTGTATATATTTATTATTTAAATAAATCTTGTATCTTATTGATTATTGGTTTTCTAATAATCTTTATAAATACAACAAATATTACAGATGTGTGTAGTGGTTTGGATGTCTGTTACAAATCTAAATACATACTAAATAGTAAATAACATGAATGTTTTACTTATTATATCTAATCGTAATGGTCTTATTTAGTATAACTTTTAGCTATTAAATATTTATAATTAATCATTAATATTATTTACTGCATATATTGTCTTTTGTTTTAATAGGTTTTACAGGTTTTTTCTGTGGTATAAGCCATATTACCTAATTAATAATTAATTATTAGTAATTAAAATCTTTTTGTCCTTTTGAATATTTCGTGATTTTACAATAACAAGTAGTTCCTAAGTTAATCACCTAGATGGCGCTAGTAGACAGTCCATAACATATCGTGGTTTCGTAGCCGTTTTCTGTCTGTGTAAAGCATAGGCCGTTGGGTAACCAGTATATCGTCGTCCACGGGAATAAATCTCCCATGTGAAAAAACGTTACTTTTCAGTAGAGACAAAAGAGTTATTTATAAATTAGCTATTATTCTATTTAATTTAAAAATACTTTCAGAGTGTTCGAGAAATAAATACTACTTTAATTTTATTAATGCCCTCATAATACATACTTTATTTATAAAGATATTTAAGGATTCAAACAAAAAAATTGTCACATAGGATATTTTTTTATCTAAGAGGTGACATAGGAGATTTTAAGTTTTTAAATTTTTGTAAAATGTTACATAGGATATTTTATGAAAATATAAATTACAAAAAAACTTCAGTTTATTTAAATGAAAAATGAAAAATAAACAATATAATAATAATAATTATAACAATTAACAATGCATATTACATTATAGAGTATAAAATATAAATTGTATTTTTATGAAACATAATATTAAATAAAATATAATAATACTACAATCAACTTTAATTTGAATTATTAGACAATAACAGCTTCAGTCTATTTAAATTTCAAAATTTTACATTTTATGTGAAACAAAACAATATAATATTAATACAACAGCTTTTAAATTATTAGACAATAACAACTTCAGTCTATTTAAATTTCAAAATTTTATATTTTATGTAAAACAAAATAATAGGTATAATATTAATACAATGCATTCATTATAGAGTATTAATAAAATATAATATTAATACAATCAACTTTTTAGACAATAACAACTTCAGTCTATTTAAATTTCAAAACTCACATTTAATGTAAAACAAAATAATATAATAATAATACAACAGCTTTTAAATTATTAGACAATAACAACTTCAGTCTATTTAAATTTCAAAATTTTACATTTTATGTAAAACAAAATAATATAATAATAATACAACAGCTTTTAAATTATTAGACTATAACAACTACTTCAGTCTATTTAAATTTAAAAAATTTACATTTAATGTAAAACAAAACAATATAATAATAATACAATCAACTTTTAAATTATTAGACAATAACAACTTCAGTCTATTTTAATTTCAAAATTTTACATTTAATGTGAAACAAAACAATGCATTCATTATAGGTATAGTATTAAATAAAATATAATAATAATAAGATTAAAAATTAAAAAGGCTTTCAAAATCAGGAACTTTAGTTACATTTTTTTTTTTTTTTGTGATATCTGAATGTTTCAAGCTATCATAAAATGGATGGTGGTCCTTTTCAATAACTTGTTTAAGAGATTGCAAGTCATAATATTTACTACTAGATATTGGTAATGGCGCATTGTATAATTGACTTAGTTCGACTTGTTCAGGTATGTGTACATTTTTTATGGATGCCCTAGTTCTCTTACTAGTCTTATTTTGTTCATGTAAAATGGCCCAGTCATTGTCAAAAGAAGTTTTATAAAAAATTTCCCCTTTTGTATACAAAAGTTTACATATATTTGTCACAGTTTTATCACCTGCTTTCTTTCCTGGTCTCAGTGATTTCAGGGAACATACAGCATCATAATTCTTAAAAAACGAATAATCAATAACTTTTATGTTATAGGGTTGTTTTTTCCTTGCTATTCGCATTCTACTAATGTAGTCACCAGGAGAGTATAATGGTCCCTTAAAATAATGTTCGAGGGTTGAGTGAACATTATCAGCCTCCATCATAGTGTGTCCTTTAGTTAAGAATAATTGTTCAATCGTAATGCATTTAGCTAAAGCCAAAGAACTTAATGCACTTGCCAATGTTTTGTTTCTGTTTTGGTAATTACAGCCATCAGATATTAAAACAACTTCTGTCACTTCACTTGGAAGATTGTCAATATAGTTAATTATACAGGTTGTGAACTCATTGGCTGTCACATTACCATCTGATTCATTCCATACATACAATGTCACATCATGGTCATTTAGTTTATAAACTGTAAAATTGTGTAGTTGTAACTTTTGCTTATAGAACATAGCTGAGGCTTCAGTTTTTGGACACAGCAGAACACTCTCTAAATCCATAGTTATAACTACCTTATTGTTAGAAACTATTGATTTATGTTTATTTTTTTCTTCTCTTGCACTATTCTTTCTTTCTATGTGTTCATTATATTCAGCTTCTAGTATAGTGCCCATCTTATAACCAATACATAGATCACACTGATCTTTTCGAGGTTGATGAATTTTTATATTGTTAGCATTTAAAGTTTCACGAAATAGAGTGCATGAAGCTGGGGTTATATTTTCACTAACACACCATTCTTTAAACACATTGAACATACTTTCTATAGATACAAAATTTGATTCAACATATATTTTTGAAGTTGATTGACGACAGTAGTGACTAGGGACTTTTGGCAATAAATGTAACCAATCTTTAATATGAATAATGTCATTTTGTTTTTTTAGAACTCTTGGACTAGGAGTTAGTGAAATTGGTTCAGGATCATGTTCTGAGTCTGATGAATTTGAATTTGATACATTATTTATCTTTTTAGTCCACCGTTTGAAGCAATCTTCACCAATACTTAAAGTGTTCAAAAACATTTTTCGACATACCTTCAATTGTTGTCCATTAGTTAAACACAACCGTATATCTCGACTCTCAATTTTCCTAACTTTATCTGATTTATTTATTTTTCTCCTTCGGGTAATTGGACGATTAGTTACAAGACCTCTTACATAACCTCGTTTTTCTTGCCATGTTTTAATTTTCCAAAAGAATTTGAAAGCATTTTTTCGGTCCTCATCAGAAAATAAACCACACATAAAACTATTGGAACTTTTTTGGTTTACAAGTGAATGATTACACCTATCCTTTATTACTCTTTTTCCTATAGGAACACTTTGAGAAATTTTTCCATTCACCATTTTAAAACCAATATATTCCTTTCCAGCTAACCTATTTTTTTGGGATTGGTATTTCACTTGTCTTAGTCCATCATTTAACTGTACATCAAGGTTGTAATCAATTTCAGATTCTGATAAAATTGGGGTTTCAATTGCTCCACTTATGATATCACTTTGAGAATTATTTATCAATATTGGACATTCATTAATTCCTTCATTCAATATAATATTATTAATATTATTTTTATCTGTGTCATACAAGACATGGTTGTTTTCTACTACATCAACAAAACTATTCAATTGTGTTGTTGTAATATCAATATTATTGTTATTGAATGATGTATTATTTTCAACTAACTCATCAAAATTAAATGTATCAATTACCATATCATAATCATCTATATAAATAACATTTAATCGGTTGGTGTCAAACTCGATTCCATTGCCAGTATCGATCCAATTTTCTAATTTACCTATATTGGCGTCTTTATTTATCGGCATCTGTGTATTGACTTCATTTTGAGTAACCATAGCGGCTATTTTTCGGCCGCGATTCATTTTAATCTACAACATTGGAAAATACAATTATTACTACCTAACTAATCAAAATGATATGATGTTTATAAATTATAGTTTTACGTACCTATTTGTTAAAAAATGTACGTTAAATATTAAAAGCTCGAAAACACGATCACGATCGTCGATCGATGAAATCACAATGATAACGATTGATTTTTAACGTTATAATCACTGAATAATCATCTATGTGCACTATCCCCACACGACACTAAGCTACACACAAACAACAATTTCTCCAATGTGATTACCAATCATATTTGTATTTACATAGGAGGTATTTAAAATGTTTATAAAATCGTCATACACATAGGAGATTAAGTATTCACATTGGAGGTATTCCAAAAACGTTTATAGTTAGCCCTGCACAAGGGAGATTATTTAATTCATATTTTGTTAATCATACAAGAAAGATAGCACATAGGAGTTTTAATCATATTAAAGCAGATTTTTTTCTGAATCCAGTGATACCAAAACCTCAATTTGCAAATTTTTCACATAGGAGATTTATTCCCGTGGACGACGATATTATCTTTAATCGTGATGAAGACCGATATTAAAATATCGTAAGTGATAATTTATCGTTATTTGATATTATATCAATTGTTGAGAAATTGGGAAACGTCGCCAAAGTCGTAATCACTTCGGTTATCACTATTATCATGGAATTATCATTTTTATCACATAATCATGGACCGTTGTTATCATCGATAAATATTAATTTTATCAACTTTTTTTTTTTTAAATATAATTTTGATTTTTTATAAGATATTAGAATATTATACATTTGTACCTTTTTGTCACTTGTGAGTTAAATTATCTTAGATCATTAATGAAATGGATAAAATGAACGAACGAAAGCGCAAAGGCTACATGTCAGCGAGCCAAAAAGAAAGGCTTGATGATGTAGTAAACCGACGGAGTCGATTCACTATTTTTTTTACTTTATTACATTAAAGCCACGGCCTTCACACTTTTAATATGTTATTTCGGATTCTCGGAACTATCAAAGCAATGCACATGGTCTACACAAATACTATTGCGTTTTACGAGTTCCAAGAATCAAAGAACGTGAGAAGAACCAGTTAAAATGATATTGCAAATTGTTATTACCTTTTGGTCGCAAACTACTTTTCGGCAGCTACAATAGCAACAAGCTGCCGCCTCGCCTTTTTGTCCACCTCCTAGTCTCTACCGTGTATAACAGGGAGTACAGAGAACCATATAAATATGAGTCTCTGTACACCTTAGAATCATAATTAGTCTCACATCCCTACATGTAGTACTTACCTGGTCGTAGAGTCCGCGCACTAAGTACACCTAAGTACATTCCCAGTAACTACAAGTAGATTTAACTAGTTCTCGGGCAGTTACTTAACGTGCTGTCCACAAATTTTTATAACATTTTGTAACAATTATTTTATTTTATTTTATAACAAGTTTAACTCAATCATAATAAATACTTCATTTAACATTGCGCCTTTGTCTCTCTTCGAAAAACCTTATTCCTTTTGATCAACCTGGTCCAACTACAGACATCGGTCACTCAAATATAAGCGTTAGCGAGGGATCACTACAATGAGATTATGATTCAACCTGAACAAAACAATTTAATTATAGGAAATTTACAAATAATTTTACAAAAAAGGATTGTGATGCTCAATGGACATCCATTGCATTGTCATTGAATTCCATACCCGGAGGAGGAGTTAAATGTGGTGCTGATTGGAAAAGAGTAAGGTTTTATATTTTATTATGTAAACTCAAGAATATGACTGTGGCATTGTCACAATAAATAATAATTGATACAATCTAGATTCTAGGTAGTCATAATAATTAGTCTAAAGCATATGGTATTCACAAGTATAAATTAGCATAAATAAAATATTATCCTTTAGCAGTTAATATCAATATTTTCAACATTTTATTGACTTTAGGCATGGAGTGATTTGAAAACCAAAACCAAAAATAAAAATATGCTAATTAAAAAGTATGCTAATAAGACAGGTGGTGGTCCAAGTTGTCCTATTATGATGAATAATGTAGATGATAAAATCATTTCAGTCATAAACCCTACTACAATTTCAGGTCATCAAAGTGTATCCGAATCAGTAGTAGACTTCAGTATAAATGATAATAGGTGGTTTTTTCTGTATGTCAATCTTACTAAATTATAATACTAATTGAAGTCGTTTTTTTAGATCATGATATTTCTCAATGCTTTGATGTTTCTAATGTAGATCAATTGCCAGGACAAAGTAATCCAAAAGGTAACCTTCTTGTGGTATTTTTAATTTATGTATAATATTCAGAAAAACCCTGTTCATACTAAATTATAATACTAATTGAAGTCGTTTTTTTAGATCAAGATATTTCTCAATGCTTTGATGTATCTAATGTAGATCAATTGCCAGCACAAAGTAATTCGAAAGGAAACTTATCATTTTCCCATGCTTGGCTATTTAAATTATTTTTATAATATTTAGAAAAGACACTATTCATGTATGTTTATCATAAATAATGCATCCAAATAATTTTTATATTTATTTTACCCATCAACAACATACTTAGTGAAATTATAAACAAATTTCAGACTCTACAAATTATTTGGATGATAATTTAAAAGTTATTCATAACAAATCTGTAAGGGCAAATATAATGGAGAAAAAATCCCCTGACAAGAAATACTATTGCTACAAGTAGACTTCAAAAAAGTGTGGAAGTATCACAACATCTTGTAGAAATAGGCCATAAAAAACTGTTGATCAAAGAAGAATATTATAAAAAAAAAATTTTAATATTAGAAAAGCAAACTAAAATAATGGAAAGGCAAGCAGACAGTTTCGAAAAAATACAAAATGATATTAAAGAAGTAGCTAAGTATCACACTGTTCAAAATATATCTTAAATAACAAAGCCGTTATTCAATTGGATATTATAATTTATAAATACTAAGCGTTATTATGTTTCTAATTCAAAAAGACTTTAAATAAATATAATTTCCTTATAAAATTATTTAAATTTGTTATTATATTTGATAGGGTATATAAAATATAATATTTTGTTATTTTTTTTTTAAATTTAAGTGTAGTACACACTACACATATTATATTCAAAAAGCTTTGAAATAATTAGTTTCATGTTAAATTATTTAGAAATTGTTTTTTGTTTGTTATACCTACAGTTAATTAATTAATATTAAAAAAAATGTTACATTTGTATCACATTGTTAAAAGCGTTGTTTAATTCTTTGTTGAATTCTTCGTCCAACTGTTAAATCATCATTATTATTATCATTGTTTCCTTCATTTCTTATAGGTTCAAAAATTCCAAAATCTACATCATTTTCTATAATGCTATCTTCTCTTTGTAACATCTCATTATTTTCAACACACATATTGTGCAATACTGCACATGCGTTAACTATTTTTGATGCTTTTACTGGAGAGTAGTGTAGTACTCTATGTTTTAATAGGCAACTGCAATTATTTAAAAATAAAAAAATAAATTACAATTACCTTGGTTTAACTTGGAGGTTAAAAAAAAATTATTAATTTAAAATCATATACTACTCCAACTACTCTCTGCACACAGATCTAAACATACAAACAGTTCACGCTGAAGCAATAACATATTACAAAAGATTCCATAACAGACTTCCATACCATCCTAATCCCCTTATAAATTGGATATAATAAGCTTCTCGCACAATTCCAGGCAACCCCACTCGACGACTAAAAAGAAATTGGTGTCGTGATTTACTAAATGAATAATCCAAATAATTAAAAAAAAAAAAAATATATATATATAAATAAACATTATAGGTAGTGCCTTCACTGGTTGGCTTCTTCCCTCACGTTTTCATGTACAAAATATTTTATCACATATTCTTATTGTGCCTAAGGGTACAGATTGTATATATCTTGTTAAAAATAAAAAAAAATAAAAATCATATACCGAAAACGCATTTTTAGTAAACCAATACACCTTTCTATAAGACATCGAATATGCTTGAATCGATGATTATATCTTGCTTTGGCGGTGTTTGGTTCATAGTGATTTAGTGGTGTCATAAGCCATGCTCTTAATGGATAACCGGAATCTCCTATAAGATTCAAATAGGTAG